GATGTTTTGACTGCTGACACTATTAATGCTGATGTTTTGTCAGCTATATTGCATCTATAAAATTAAAAATAAATTATAAATCGAAAGTTGTATTTTATTTTTGGATATGTAAGATCAAGCCATGACTTCCTCTGCCCTGTATTAAGGAATTAAGGTTAAGGAATGTTCACAGTTTAAGAAAGGTCATTTTCAGTTCTAAAGCAGCTGGCAGTGCATTTTATTGTGTAGCCAAAACTAGCTTGGTAGTTTATGTGTTACACTACTTTGCAACAAAAAATACCATAGTGCTTTACTTTGTACCACGTTACTTTAACACTGCTTGTGAGGATGGTTTACACTGATGATGATATATTTTTTTGGTATTGCTCAAAAGGCTCAGGAAAGCATGTGGTTTGGGTCCATTAGGTCCAAAGCATGTGACATTGGGTCCGTTTTAACTCTGTCTCACTAGGGCTGAACAATTTGGGAAAAATATCTAATTGTGATTTTTTGGATCAATATACAGCTGTATTGTATATATGCAGCTGTGATTTAAATTGCGATTACTTTCTGTAAATGGAAGTTAAGGCCTGTTATTTTAGCAGAGAATATCAGAACATCCACTTTTTCTGGTTTGAGACTTGAACACTAACAATGCCAGACTACCAGTTGCTTGTGGTTGTGATGTTAGAGCATATGTTTTTTAGTTGCTTCTGATTGGTCTAACCCTTCTACAGGCAGTTCAAAAGCTCTAAAATTAGGTTAATGCCCCCCCTATAGGCTATAATTAAAATTGCAGCTCTTGCAATTTGAAAATTACACTCTTTTTAATCGTGATTTTGATACTAAAATGATAAATCTTTCAGCCCTGTTTCTCACTGTGCTGCTGTCAACAGATCTTGAGCATGCGTTAAACTGCTTGCAGAGGGAAGACCCCAGCCTGAAAGTCCGGACAGACCCTGACTCTGGACAGGTAATCATATTCACTCATTGTGACATCCTCTTCATAGCCCTGAAATGTCTCTCTGAGATTAAACCTTGCTGGTAAATATACACTGAGTTGCCAGTTTAGTAAAATTGATTGTAGCCCATCTGTTGATGCGCAATTTGTCAGCCCCCCTCTACCCCGTCTATCAGTGGAAATAAACAGGCATAGGTCCACTGTTGACCAGATATTATTTGGGTGGCAGGCCATTCTCAGCACAACAGTGAGACTGGCATGGTAGTAAGTGCTGTGCTGGTAAGAGTGTATCAGGTGCAGCGGTGTTGCTGAGGTTTTCACAAATTTTGGCAACAAATACCCTTTAAATAGCACCCAACTAACATCTGGTCAGCACTGGTCTGCTTTGGTCCCTTTTCATTGACTGACAGGAAAGGGGGCAACCAGAAAAATAGTGTATCAACAGATCACAGTCAGTACTTATGAACCTACAAAGTGCACCTGTAGCTGGTACAGTTGTCAGTGAGTGTAGATACAAGGTAGGTATTTCTAATAAACTGGTCAGTTAACATAACGAAAATTAGATCAAATCATGGCGAATCACATGATCATTCTGGGTAAATATTGTTGGGGTCAGTTTAATTTCAGACAGGCCTCATATACTAACATCCTCTTCCACATATGTCCTGTTTATTCATGTTCTCCCTCACTCCCACATGTGTGTCCCATATGTGTGTACATAGACAATTCTTTGTGGTATGGGAGAACTTCACATTGAGATTTTGCACGATCGCATTAAGAGGGAGTACAACATCGAAACCCACTTGGGACCCTTACAAGTGGCCTACAGAGAGACCATCCTCCAGTCAGTAACTACTACAGGTAAGACTACAGACTAATCACAACAGGGTTATAATGTCCAATATCATTGAGACATGAAATGCCTAAAGACAGCAAGCACAGATTCACTGCTGTATAGGTGAAATGACCATATCACAGAAAAAAGTTAAATAAGAGTTTGATATGGTGCAGTTTAGCCACCCTTTCCAGTGGTCCATTCTGCTTTTTGATCACAATATAGGACAACCAATCAGAATGTAACTAAATTAAGTAATTTACCTATTTTAGATTTAAAGGCACAGTAGTAAAAGGAGACTGTTTAATATTAAGGGAAAAAAGATTAGATAATGGTAATTTTAGAATTAAAACCACATGAACATTATAAGCAAATATGAAAGAGAAAAAGAAAAAGAAAATACAAGAAAAATGCAGAATGTGGGTTTAACACATGATTTCATAGCCATTGATTGGGTCAAGAAAAAAAAAAAACAGGAAAAAACATCTTTATGGTAGTTAGGCAGAAGTTTGTAATGCTAAATGTAGAAAGTTCAACCTGCTTAGAAATGTCACCTTTCAGCAGCACAACACAAACACCTTTACTGCAGTGGTTATAAATGGCGAGGTGAATGACTTTGAGAGACCTAATTAGAGACCTGACCTGAATCCAGTTAAAAGACTGAGGCACTGCGCAAATTGCCATGAAACTGACTTTTAGCAACAAAAACGCTTTATGTGACATCATTTTTTTTGCAAAATACATGTTCCTGCATACGTATTGGTTTATTGACAAAGAAAAGTATCTCATGTATATATTTTACTATCAGAACTGTTATGTGAGAGATCATATTTCTGTGCCTTAGAGTTGAATGGGGAAAAAAAGTTGTGAACATTCATATAATGTTTTTGCAGTTTTCATTAACATAGCCTATTTTGACTAACCTTTTGAAGCATTAAAACATTTTTTGTAAAAAGAAGGTAATTTGGATGGATTGTGGCTCATAAGCATCCCAGTAACCCTGACATTAGTATTGAGGGTAGTATTGTCAGATAAATGTAAGAAATAAATAGCCAAATTGCAAAAATGTGCAAAATGGCACCTAATATTAACCCTGATGGCTTATAAATTTATAAAATGCTGAAGTTATGAATACATTATGAATTGCCATTTTACAAGAGGAACATGTTTAGGACTTCCTGTAACCAAACTAAATGCATCGGCACACGCAATCCACAGCATAGACTTTAAAACTGTTCTATACTGTACTGAGTTGAAAGATTAAAGGTTGTAAAAAAACATTCCCAAGGAAATAATAGATTATGAAAGGCTATTGTACTGTTTTATGGGTGCAATATGTTAGCATAATAAACCCTGAGATCTCGGTAAGTTGTATGATAAGGATTGAGAGAAATGAGAGAGGTAATATAATGCACACTTATGCTGTGCTTAGAAACTATTGCAAAGATATTGGAAAAGGCTGTTGTGTTTGTTTCAGACACTCTGGATCGCACGCTGGGTGAAAAGAGACATATTGTAACTGTAGAGCTAACTGTGAGCCCCTGGTCAGAGTCTGCTACTGGCACTTCCTGTAACATTGCTTATGACGAGGAAGTAGAGGCCCAGATTTCTGCAGAGGTCAGAGAAGCAGTGGACAATGGTGTTCAGAGTGGTTATCTGCAAGGTAAGTAATTTGCAGTCATGGGCTTAGTCTGAAAGTGCAGCTCATCTACTGCACTATTCAGTGCACAGTTTTGGGAGTTTGCCATTTTGCTGTGGTGTCTGAAAATATAGACATCTCGAGGTGAAGTCTGCAGTTGGAGAGTAGAGATCTTGCTAGGTCTGGTATGCATAGGCTTCAGTGCTCATTAATGCACATTTGAGACAACCTGAGCAGGCTGCACTAACATGTCATAACTTACTGACCCAAGCAATGTGACACCTTTGAATCTTATGTTTAAAAACAGGAAATAAAAATTTGTATATCACTTCTCTGGTGCCGTGGCATCTCTTCATGTGTTAATGCAAAAATAAAGTATTTTATTGACTATTTCAAGGTAAAGTAATAGTGTGCTGAGACACGCTTTATTTATAAGTGCTGTAGCTTATTTATGTTTTTAAATTGATCTGAAACCTGCACATAGGTAAATGTTTGTCACAGCTATGTTTAAATTGCCTTAAATTTACATACATATTAGCAAATGTAAAGTCAGTGAGACACAAATGGCACCCCAGTCATAGAATACTGTGTGAAATCTTGGTTTTCGTGTGCAGGTCCCATGCTGGGTTACCCTGTGCAGGGTGTAAGCACTGTTATCCGCAGTGTGCATGTGGAACCAGGCACCTCGCTGGCCATGGTGTCTGCCTGTGTCTCCCGCTGCATGCTTAAGGTATTCTTTCTTTCATGTCTGTCACTCTCCATTAATCAAGAGAGCTTTACTGAGAACTCCTGAATTGTGAAATCTATGTCGAAGTTTGGGCATAAAATAAGGCTGTGTGCGTGTGTGTGTGTAGGCTCTGCAGCAGGCAAGTGGGCAGGTACTAGAGCCTGTGATGTCTCTGGAGGTGACCGTTGGGGAGGAGTATCTGAGTTCAGTGCTTGGTGATCTCGCCCAGCGCAGAGGATGTGTCCGTGACATCCAGAGCCGCCATGACAACAAGGTGCTTTTGGCCACTGTCCCTCTTGCAGAAATGATGGTGAGTGGGAACTAATGGTCTTGCTTTGGTCACTGTATGTCTGTCTTAAAATCCTATTTTTATTTATTGTTGTAATAGAGTTTTTCCATTACATTTTTAGAATTACTTCCACATTTTGTCCCCCTGTGTCACTATACACAGGACTGACATCAGTCAGCTACTTGTTTCTATAAAAGTTACTGCACACTGGTTCTTTATCATTGGTCTAAATCTGTCTTATGACATCCAGTTGTTTGGTGTTCTAGAAGTACTGATAGTGCTTGCAATATACATAGTCTATAGCAATTTTTTTACTAGTTTATTACTTTTCTCCAGGGCTATTCAACAGTTCTACGCACTTTGAGCTCAGGGACTGCCACCTTCTCTCTGGAGCTGGCTAGCTATGAACCCATGAACCCCCAGGCTCAGACCTCACTGCTCAACAAGATGGCTGGACTGTCCTGATGTTACTTCCTTTGGTGTTGTACCGCTCTTGTGGAGATGACTCTTTGACTGTTCAAAATGTATGTCATTTATTGAGATGATTCTTTGAGTGTTCAAAATGTATCATTTATTGAGATGAAGTTCCCTTTTATTCACTAATTTCTCATGTTATCACAGCAATGTAGAGTTACACATCAAAACAAGTGGATCAGAAAATTGTCATTATAAATTACTGATGCAAAAGAGATCTCTACTTAAAACCTGATTGACAGATGTCTAACATAAGCCCAGAAGTTGAGGTTTCTTTTGTGTGGAATAGATACAGCATAACAGTATCTCAACATACAACTGTACTAAACCAACAGTCCTTAAAAATCAACAGCTGAAAATTTCTCTTTACTAAAATGTACTTTTAGGGTGGTCCCTCATACACCATTTTTGAACCAAAAAAAAATTCAAACCAAAAGCAAAGTGCTGCATTATCAGGATACATACATCTTTCTTATCGTGAAAGTTCACAGCAAAAATCAACTAAACTGTCTCAGTGCACACAGCTGATAGGAATGAATGTTGATCATTCAAGTAAAAATGGTCCCACTTTGAACTCAGTTGCCACTGTACTCATGAGGACAAAAGCCCACATACAGAGGTTCTGCAGGTATACCTCTCCTGGGAAAACAAAAGGTGATTAAAAATGAAGGACAGCACATAATGGCTAATTTAGGACAGCAGTATTTGTCAATAATACAGCAGAAGAAATAAATAGCTCTGCTGCCTCTAAAACAACTGTACATGGAGCCAGCATTGCTGCACCTGCACACAGCAGTGGCTCACATACACAGACATATTCTGACTAATAAAAGGTCATCTACTTTAGCCAAGTAAAAGTGTCAGTAAAGAGTCAAAGAAAGATATCAGCCAGGTGAGCAGACATTACCAGTTACCTCAGCAACATATTGTGCATCATTTAAACAATGAATGAAAGATTAATAATAAATGCACTTCAGGTCATTTCAGTCCCTTGGTGGTTTCAGACTCACCTGACCATGCGGCAGCGGTGTTTCACCAGACGATCATAGGCGTTGCCGATGTCTTTCACATTCTCATCACTCCATAGCCTCTCTGCTACCGCACTGGCTCGAGGCCTGTGAAGAAACAGACCACACTCTTCACTGTTGTTCAATCAGCACAGAGCTCTCCAAGAGTGAAGTTACTTTACAGTCTTCAGGCAATTGTGTCAACTTTAAGATTTGAGGGGAGGCGATGGCAACATTACACTGCAAGCCTTTTGATTTTTCTTCAGATCTGATCTCAGCAGCAAGGCACACTGGACAAGGATGGTGGTAATACACTATTGGTCAGTAGATTATTTCATTGGTTATTTAAGCAGTCCAAGTCCACTGATTAACTTGAAATGGTACAAAAGGTAAGCAGCGAACTGCCAAAATTAGCAATAAACTGAAAACACCAGTTCTACAGCGATGGAAGTAAATTAAACTTTGAAAGTGGATAAAAACAATTCCTACAGATGTCCCAACTTTTGTCTAACGGTTTCCAGCACCATCGAAAGGCACTTGAAAACCAGAGGAAACTGACAGGAAGAGCTCTGGCAGAGAAAAAGCCCCAAAAGAATCGCAAGGAAAGTTTCTGAGAGTCAACAGCTTAACATTGGTTGAAATAAGCACCTCAGTTTCAGGGGTGAAGAGAAGTCTTTAAGCTACTGATTTAGGTGAATGGCAAAATAAGAGGCTTCCCTGGACCATGCAGCACTGCCTGAAGTCTGGAAGAGCATAATGTAAACCAATGAATCAAAATTTGACATTTTTGGTTTATTACACAGGGTTTTTGTGAGGTAAACTATCAAACGAGGAGGTAGCATGATAGCCTGGGGCTATTTTGTTGGATTCAGAGTCTGCAACAGAATGACTAGCACCCTGAATCAAAAGGACTACCACAGCATTTTGCAGCGAAATGCAATACAAAAATGAGGCTACTTTGACTCAAACGTTTATATTGCATTTTGATTCAATGTATTCAAAACTTTCTCTCTAATTGTTTTGTTCTACGCTTTAATTTCATAGGACACAGACATTACACAGCCTAAATATCCACAAACCTGGACGAATGGGTGTGTTCTAGATCTTTTGACTGTAAAACACAATTTTAATCTGCCTGTTCTCATGAAGGTCACATGGCCATAAATCAGATATGTCTGACTGTAAAGTGACTCAAGCTCTGTTTTGAAAAGATCAGATTTTTGCATTCGCACAGCTCTGAAAACATCAGATCTGTACTAAGGCAAAATTGTCACTTGGTAATATGAACAATTGCTTGTGTATGACTTAAGTGCTAATAAGCATGTTCCCCTCAAAGATTAAGATATGATATTTATACCCTAAATGAAGACCTTCAATGTCTGAAGTCTGCTTCTTTAAGTTATCAACTGAGCTAGGATGCTAACTCAGCTAATCAGTAATTGATGCTTATACCCCGACAATTAACACTGTGCAAGCAATATGCCCAAAATCATAAAAACGCACAAAATTCTGAACAAAATTTAGGTTGCTACTGTCCAGTCTTATTGATAATGTCATACAGTGTCAGAAACCACATGAGATAAATTGAGACAAGCGTGTAATGATTTAGTCATGCAGTCTGTAAAATGCTATTTGCTAGCTTCAGTGCAAAACTAAAGAAGCAGACTTCAGAAACCAAACATGTCTTGGTAGTAACGGGAAATTGTGTAAAAGGATGGGATATGGTCATACCAGAGACGGGGGGTGAGGTTGGTGGCATCCACATACTCCCCCCAAAGACAAGCCTCTCCACCAATCACAAGCTTCTTCTGCTCTGCTGTGCCTAAAAGGTCAGGAAGGAAATAAATGACAAAAAAAAAAAAACCTCTGTTAGTTCTCACTAAATAACAGTAATGTCAAAAGCTTTTCTACAAAAATGCTATGCTATGAAAAAAATAAATAATAAACAAACACCACAACACTAGTACTATCAGATCTAGATCTACTATCAGATTCTACTATCAGATTTGGGGGGGATCAGATCTCATTAAAAAAGAAAATCTGAACATTTCTGACTAACTTCAGACACAAATGCCAAGTCATCCACATAAGAGTTAATTGAGTATGCTTTCAACATTTCTAGACCATTGTAAGACCATCCACTCTCACTGGAGTGCCACTAACACAAGCCCAAAACCACTATTACTGAAGAGCTCTGGTGGAGTAAGGCACAAAACTGGAGAAGCACAACTACTAAAACTGATACACTAACAATGATGTACACAGCCAAAGTTTTTCTGCACACAAATGAAAGTGTTCCAGTACGAAAACAACACATCTCTCACCACTAAATGCTCAGTAAATCTAAATCCTTGCATGATTCAGTTTGTTGCTACAACTAGAACTCACCTAATATGCACAAAGCCCTAGACTCCACAAAATCAGAGTACTAATACTGGGTAAAGTAAAAATCACAATTTTTATTTTCTGCGATTACTCAAGATGCTCCTGGTGAGTTGTGTTCTGCTGCATGAACGTATTCATGTGATCTAAAAAATGTGAATCAAATGGGGGGGAGGCTGATCTTTAACCACATTGCAATAAAATGTTAACCTGTGTGTTTAATGTATAACTGCTGTGTAACTGTGTAATCTAATATGGTATTTTGTGTTAAAGGGTGGGCGATATGACAAGTATCATAATATTTTCACAATACACATCACAATATTTTGTTATTTAGTTCATGAACATGGAACAGCCAAAATACAGGAAAAACAGTAGTGCCACAGTAAAAAGTGCTACAAAAGACCTGTGCACTGAATGTATGCAAATGAACACACATTTAGGAAGGATAAGGAGGGAAAACTAAGAAACACGTTAAAATAAGATTAAGGCATAAATGGCCCAAACAATACTGAACAATACTCAGACGATTAATCCTTGAGCACAAGAAAGCAGTGTTTATGGTAAACAGCTAGTCACATTAAAGATGAGTCAAGCAGCTTATTTTAAAAGGAGGAAGAAAAAAAGAAAATACTACATGTATATGTAGAAAGTAAAGCACTGAGCAATAAGCTACTGCTTACTGAAGAGATAAACCGCTTTGTATTCTTGAAATCTATGTTGCAAGACTTGTTCTCTTTGCCAAAAACCAATAGTTCCCATGACTGAAACAACAAACACCACAAACTTAAATGATTAAAGGGATTGGAAGGGTAAAAAGGCTGTCCCTGATTGGCCAATTAGGGTCAAGCTTGTGGCCAAAGAGCTTTTGACCCCTAATCCAGAAAACAGTCCGCCTTGGAGCAGGTTCAGCATGCAGCAAAAGCTGCCAAGGTCACACAGCCCGGTAAAAAGGGATACATGGATGTGTGACAATCTGGGTTAGATTAAGCTAAATTAGGAAACCAAAAAAATCCCACAGCGCAAGACAGGCCCCCGATTACTATTGATTATTATTGTTGCTTACAGAGCATGTACTACTGGACTAAATCTGTTGTTTCTACAATACATGCAGCTGTTCAGTGTTCTAGAAGTTCTCACAATATCCATGATTTTCAGAAATCACGATAATGATGTAGTCATATGGCCCACCCCTACAATACACTGTGGATTTAACCTACAATGCAACCTATGTCTGAACCAATATATAATTTTTTTTTCCGTTGTATCCTTCACATTCCCACACACCATTGAAGTTCTGAGGGTCAGCCTTGTAAATGCCCAGCCAGTCTTGGCCATAGCTGATGCGGTTTAGGTACCAGGGAGAGGAGAGAAGGGTTTGGAACCCAGCCGCTGTTATCCGTGCCATTTCATCGTGGTACGGTGGCTTCTCCTTCCACACGTGGAGCTGCGTGTCTGCTTTCAGCTACATACAGACACACAATCACAAATTTGCAAATAAGCATGCTGGGATGACAGATGCAACAAACAGGTGGAAGAAAGGACACTGCCTGTTTCTTTTGGTTTTAGGCTGTTTTCACACCTAGTTCATCTGCATTTGACTTTGGGTTTTGGGTGACATTCTGTCTTTTACTATTTGGTTTGGTTGGTTTTACACTGCAATAGCTGAAGTCCACCAAATAATACGCATAGGTGTTGCGTTCTTTGACTGGGCAGGGATACGGCAGGGATACAAGCACTCATTTACTTTCATATTTGTCTCACTCAATTATCTACTTTTTACTTTAACTTTCACTAGATAAAATAACTTTAATAAAATATATCACCCATAATGTTGCATGAAAACAGAGATGCTTAGTAGCTACAGTACCTGACCTAGTTTTTTTTTATGACTGATTTAGTTTGAATATGTACCAGCTGACAGCGCTAACGTGTTGTAAAATTTTGTATTTTTTATTTTATTATATTTTATTAGAAGTAATCTCGTTTGGAGCAGACCATCATAAAATTGGGTTCCTACCAGGAGCAAACTACACTACAGTTTGCTTGGAAACAGACCAACGATTTTTGGCAGACCACTGTTTAATATAGGTGGAGTGCTCAGACATGTCAAAACAGACCGAACTAAAGAAAAGCTGAACAGGGTAGGTGTGAAAGCACCCTAGGGGTACCATCATCAATACCAGTTCACCAAACTGTTGTAAGTCAGACACAAAAGGCACATTCACACACTAAATGCTAAATTCATGTTGCAGCAACATGTTAACATGATGCTGTCTGTTTTCTGCATCTTACTGCCACCACACTTAAGGTGTTTTTCCACTGGGCAGTACATTACAGGTCAGTATGGTTCCAAGTCCGAACCCAGAACTATATACCCTTGCCTGTATACGTTTTGCGTTGCATACATGCATTTGGTTTTATGTAAAGAGTCTCACGGACTCTGCACAGCTGCACATTTTTTTTTAAATGGCAGTCACTAACAACTATATTTGACCAACCCAGTGGTTTGCATCATTAGTAGCTCCACCCATAAGTTCTGGCTCAGTACACTTGGGACCCAGCGAGAAGGATAACCAAACTCGGCACCTGTGCCCAGGTATAGCACAGAAAACGACGACAAAATTCGTGATCACAGATTTGTAACAGTACCTTACCAGTACCTTACCATTGCCATGCTGTGTTGCCTGCCCAGTGGCAACACAGCATTATATGGTGTATACATAGAGCATTTATATTTCTTGTATCAAAATTCAGCATGAATGTGCATGTGCCTTAAGTGCAATAACAGTTATGAATTTGAAGATGCTCCATAAAGACAGAAGCATACTGTGCCTTACTGCCAAGCAGTGAGATGCAGGCCACATGCAGCGAGGGTGAGTGGAAGAAGTGTTTTCAAAAGTGGGCAGAGTAACCTAAACCCATACTCAAGTAAGAGTGAAATAATTAAAAACTCTTTAGTAGAAGCACAAAAGTGCTCAAGTACCAGTGACAGCAGTAAAACTTCTAGTATCTACTTCTAGTAAGTTCTAGTAAACTTCTTATGATTTTGCTTTACTTTGTCTAGAATGAAATGACAAACTTGAAAAGCTAGATATGACCACACACAAAGCAGTATAGATATTAAAAAATAAATAAATAAAAAATATCAAAGTAACAAAAAAATTAAACCCACAAATGCCTAAAATGCAACTGAAGTTCAAAGTAGTTACAAAGTAGTCACCTTCACCACAAATATACTTGAGTACATGGAACTGGTTACTACCCACCTCTGGTTGTCAACTGTAGTGACAAACATCACAAAACACCTAATACAATATGCATGCGTGAAAAACAGCAACAGGATAAGATTATGCAAAAGACTGCAATAAGACGTTAATCATAGGTTCAGTTTCACTAAACTGCTCTAGGAATATCTGATATTCAACACTGATCTTCTGTCACTAGACAGATGTAACAGTTTAACCGGAGAGACGTTAAGTGTCACAGCAGTTAGTGGAATATCTTTAATAAATCTTAATCACTTATGACTCACCACCTTACAAATAAAATTTTAAATGTTTTATAGAGTAGCACAACTGAAGTAGCCTCTGCAGTTACTGATGTTAATCACAAAAGCCTACAATTTAAGTATATAAGAGTCTGTTTACAGCTTGCATTAACATGTGTTGTGTTTCTGGATCGTATCTGGATAAACTTTGGATTTCCTTAAAACTGGATTCCCTTAAAATGCATCAACACGTACATTGCTTCAGTTTTATTTTTTGTTTACTCTTTTCTATTATCACACAAGTGGACAAGCTTTGCCTGGATGCTTTCATCAGCCTAGAGTGCATGTATCAAGTATCCTCCATCTTTCATTCTATTGTTTCGTCTCTCACCCGCTACTAAGTATTCAGCAAATGCTGAATGTAACTGTTCAAAGATAACAAAAGTGCATTCTGTTTACACTTGTGTTAAATGCGGTCAAGATCTGCCTCTGACCACCTTGTGGTTTGTGCGATCCAGTCATAATTCAATCACCGTGCATCCTGGGGGTGTTTATACCTGGCTTTTAATGCAGTCAAGTGAAATCTGAGTGTGATCTGTTCACAAAAAACGCATGTTAATGCAAGGTGTAAACAGGCTCTATGAGGTCTATGTAGTTTTTTTGCTTGCTGCATTTTCTGTATATGTATTTGCCTGCTGCTATTTTAAGTATATGTATTACAGTGAACTAATCACTGTTGAATAATCATTGCGGAAGTTCTTACAAAACGCCTTAAAAAAGATTAGTAAAGGATGAGACAAGGTGGACGCAGGAATGAAGCAGGAAAGAGGAGACAAGTCTTACATACACAGCATATCAGCACTGTCACAATACCTCTAAACTAAAAACGAAGCACTTAAGTTTCTATGCCGGTTTCCTATATAGGTTTTAAAAAAAAAAAGAAAAAAAAAAGCACATTTTCAATACGTATCAAAAAATAGAATTTGAAACCAAAATTTTAACAGGGAGAGGGGCTTATATTGTGTATGCACCCACACTTAAATTATCTTGGAGGATTCTTATTCATCTTAGTATAAGAATAGAGTTCTGTAGAGTCATTTAACATTAACATACAAAACATCACAAATCTAACTAAATCTTGATCTCAGAATTAAAAATCGTATATTGTTAGGTCTCTAGTATGTGCGCCTGTAAATGGTGCATATGATGCCAACACTAACATTAATCATAACATGAACAGAGGGCACATATTCAAGCAATCCTTACTTTCGATGTATCAGAAAATGTATCGTAACGAGAGAGTATTGTTACACCCCTAACAAGTCTTCAAGACCAACAACTAAAGATAAACTACAGCTAGTCCACAACTAAACTGTTCAAAAGAAGCAAATAAAGAAGCTAAATAAAATTCTCCAAGCTCAGTGATCCCTTCACCCGAGAGTGTCTTAAAATGGAAGTCTGGGAGTGAAACATAGGCTGAATTTCACGCACAAAAAAATTCTAGAGAAATCAAAGCCTAACAAAGAAAATGTCCAAGTAGTACTACAGCCAGTACAGACACATCAACATCCACCCAATCCCCCTGAGCCAGTTCTGATATACTAGGTAGGAAGGGAACAAAAGCTACTACAAAAGAATCCTTTACCATCTAATTCTAATTAAAATAATTAGTAATTCTAGTATGAACACAACTATTTCAGGTTGCTAGCTAAATTAACTTAGAAGTACAGTTATTGCCTTTGTTTTGCTATACCATCATATGCAAATTATGCATCTCCATATTTCATTTACATACCATGGCCATGAACTGCCCGCAACATGGCGGAACTGTATTGTACTGTACTGTACTGAGTGCAGGGTTGCACTGCCATGTCAAATACTAAGACTAGTGTTATTCATATGCATTTTAAATAATTAACGTAATACATGTTCAATACTGTCTAAAAATGTATATTTTGGAAATTGGAAGTATTAGGTAAACTTAGCAGTGCCCACTAAAGAGTTAATTAGGCGAGCTTTGTTGCTGTGTAAATTAGTGTAACAAAGTTGGCATGTCAACGTTGGCCGTTACGTTCTGGGGATTATGACCAAATTTCTCTGCTTCCACCCCTCCACCTCCACCCACCCCCCCCCAACTGAGCTACACATGAGAAAATATCGAATTCCATCATGCCTTTGTTACTGCCAGCAATAACCAAGGATTAAGATATCTGAATGAACCAATTTCATTGAAACAGTAAATATGCACTGTTTTTCCAGTGCTATTGTAAACCACTAGGTCAATGAGCACACCAACCCTCAAAACTGAGCGGCTCAACCGTGTAGTACTTCTTCCAGTCCTGTCCATAGCTAATGTAGTCCAAGTACCAAGGGGCGGAGAGAATGGTGGTGAAACCAGACCCTGTGACATTCTGAAGCTCCTTGTCCACATTGTTGTTCATCCACACTTCCACGACTGTGTCACTCTTCAACTGCAAGCACATAACTTAAAAGTTGTCTTACATAAATAAATAAAAAAGCCTATTTGCACAAGCACAAGCGCAGAATGCTGCATACAAAAGGTTGCACATTGACAGGTTAGCAAAGCGGCATGCACTGGAAGTCGATCATTACTTCCAAAGTTTGCATAATAGGTTATAATGAAGTTTAATTAAGATAAATCAGTAAGGCGAACCCTCAACCTGATTTTGGATTCATTTATCTATACATAATTACACAGCATCCCAAGACATCAATTTGCATTGATGAAAGTGTTGGTCACTTGAAAGTGTTGGTCATTCTGTGTTTAGTCATCTGACAAATAAGGATATTGGCTACAAAAGTAATTTAATACTGTTTTGTAAAAATGCTCAGGAGAAACCTGAAAAAATAATTGTGATGCAAAGCAACAAAAATTATTTGTTCAACAGATTGTAGATATTTATTCTAAATAGGTCTGCAAAACATTTCCTGATGGAAAAATGATAATATATGCTTTTGATTTTCTTTGCATCCAATGATCATTTTCACCTAAAAAGTCTCAAAAATGTATGACAGTGTTAAGAAATAAGACACTGAAGTCATAGCTGGGGATTTTGACTTCATCATCTATGATCAACATAAGCCAGTCTGTCTAGAAAAAGCTACACTCTTACCTTAACTCCATTGTCAAAGACCTCCTGCCACACCATGTAGCCTTTATTGGTGGTACTCACAATGTCAAGAAGCCTGTAGTTAAAACCACACATTAACTACAACATTTTGGATGCTTTCCCACTTGATTTTTCACAAAGAGTGGGATCTCTTACCGTTGGATATAGTAGGATTCAAGTTTTTTGTAGTCCTGGCCAAAGCCTTGCTTTTCCATGAACTTCTGAATGTCAGGGTTTGACTTCCTAAAGATAAGATATGATTGCCTATTTTTAGACAAGTTCACAATTCAGCTACAATGACAGCTTTATTTGCTTGGTTTGTATCAAAACAAGGGTAGCAGGCTCAGCACTTTCAAAACCATACAAAGCATAAAGTGTCTCTCTTATGTGAATGCCGAAAGAGCATTGCTTTTTTGCTATATGCTGTTCCAGAGTAAATCAATAAGGATGCGATTCTTCCATTGGACATTCTTTGTCCCTCACCAGCAAGTGAAGTCCACTTCGTCTCCCCCCAGGTGGATGTATGCATCAGGGAAAACAGTGCTGACCTCTTTGAAAAAGCGGGTCATGAAGTCATAGGTGGAGTTCAGAATGGGGTTTACAGGGCCGAAAGTTCCTGAGGGACTGCTGCCAGAGAAGCATGGGGTCAGAAGATCCGTCTGACCTATACAAAAAGAGATGGTTTACTGTCGCTCTATGAGGCAGCAAAGACTTCTGTTAACATCTATATATAGATTATGTTTTATGAATTATATAGGTGGTTGAGAGCTTTTTAAAAGGAGACTTTTCTCACAATAATGTTTGCTAATGACAAATAATGGTAAGCCCAGGTAGCATTCCATTGTATTTAAATTACATTGAAATGAATTGTTTAATGAATACTGCTTTGGGTAATACGAACTAAAATGCAAGCATGTTTAACTGTCCAGAGTAAACGGTTCAGCCCTTGTTCTGTGCTTTGAAGAATTATAGGTGATAAAATAGAACTGGGTGATACAGCAATCTATCCACTACGAAAATTATGAATCCAACAATTTGTATTCAACATTTCACATACTGCACTAAAGTAAATCCAACTAAACAGGACTAATTATGCTCTCTTTAATCAAACATGCAGTTGGGAAGTGTTTTTGAATACTGATAACATCCACAATATGCTCAGAAAGGCATATTGTGACATTTTGTGATTTTGGTAATTTATCACAACGACGATAAATATTGTAATATTGCCCAGCGCTAGAAGAAATAGCTTAATATTCTTCTTAAAATTGTCTAGGATGTTAGAGGACGAGGAGTTGGCTAGCAACTATGTCTTAACACGGAGATGGTTTCACAATAGGTGTGACATGATGCTGTAAAGTTCAAGCTGCACTAGACAAACATTTGTTCTATCTTGGTCATTTTTTGTTAGCCACTCTAGTATCTGTAAGGGAAGTATATCCTTAAAATTTATTTAGAGCACATGACATGACAAACAATAAAACAGAACTATCTTGCACTCAAGGGTTCTTCACTGACCTTTGCCCCATGAGAGGGTGTGTCCAGGAGTGTCAAACTCAGCAAGGACACGAATGCCCCTCATGCGAGCAAACTCAATGACCATCTTCACATCAGCGGGGGTGTACACATGCGTGTAAGGGTGGTAGGCTCCCTTTGAAAACACAAAATAAAGGATATTACCAGGGGTGTTAAGGTATGATAACCTAGTCAAAATATAATTTTTTATAATTATTTTTAACATCAATAAGTCAACAATGGGGCAACCATCAGACCACATATCATGGCTAACCATGGCATCATAACAAGCCTAGGTATGAGCCATAAACCTAAATCTATGTGATTTCCCATTTAATTTTGACAGTAAAGCTCCAGAATAGAGGAGACACGACTAAGACATATTGGTCGTGGCTTAAACTTGCGATAATACAGGAACAAGGGAGGTTACTACAGCTATATTACTTCAGCTTGACTTATTTCACCTACCCTCTTCTTCCAAGATGGCAGATGGAAAAAAAAAAAAAATGAGAAGATGAAGCAATTTTTTAGAACCAGAACAACTGAGCTATACACACGTTTAATGTTTAAAGCGGTTTTATAACCAGGGAAATATACATCAGCCAGCCTTCATAAGTCCAGCTTCTCAGGTTCAGATGCAGCCTAATTTTCTTAACTAAAGTGGACATGACATGGATCAGTTCCTCTGAATGCTTTTTGGAACTGCACTGTTTCAACTGGAGTTTAGGTAATTCACTGTATCTTAGGCTTGCTGCTACAAATGTCCACAATGTCAAAAGAACAACAAAAACTTTAGCTTTATATAAATGTATAAAATAATCTGAACAGGAATAACTAGAGAAGCATAACTGCCACTCTAAAACACATTTTAAAAACAAAGCAAAAGTATTTTGTGTTAAGCAGTGTCTGGGAACATTTAGTAAAAGATAGCTTACCTTGTGACTGAGGTCAGGGAAAGTGCGACTTTGAAAGGGGAAAGAGTGATCGTCCACAATGTGCCAGTGGAAAACGTTGAACTTGTTCATCGCCATGGCTTCCTGTTAAAAGGGAAGAAGGTGTGAGAAATCTGGATACAGGAAAAATATATATCTTACACCCCCCCTCCAAAAGGAAATAATTTAATAAAAAACACATTACACCGAAACAAAAAGATGAATTTTGATACAGAAGTAGCAGCCATCTTTAAGCCTGAATCACTTTTATATATAAACAGACATATGTTTACCACCACAGAAACCACTTAAATCCAATTGAGCTCCCATTATTTGTTACAACAAGGAATGTCAGACAATAACAACACACACAGAAAATTCACTGCGTTTTACAAACACTGTGCAAAATAAAAAAGGAATAGTAACAGATGCTTTGCAAACTCAGAAAAGGCATGCAACTTCAAAAACACCACAAAGCCTGTCAGAACACAACAGGACACACAGGGGATGGAGCTATTCAAACTTCTATGCAGCATAAATATTCACCGGTAAAAGCAATTTTACTTATTTGAGCAGGTAACTAAAAGCACTGCATCATAATGGAATTAGCTGTAGGGTGTAACTGTAAAATTTCAAATAGCAAAACCAAATATGCCCGATAACTACCACAATACAGCTATCATGTCAGATAGCTAACTAGCCAGCCAGCCAAGTTAACTATAAACTTCCTGAATGTATCTGTGGTCTTATTAACATCTGTCAGTGACTTCATCCATCACAGATATTTCATCCCCTTTTCAGAGCTGTGAAACATTTCCGCTGTGGTGGCTCACTTGCGTTGTGTTTTGTTGCTGAAGTGGTGTTTTCTGCATTTGCACTGTGTTTGTGAAATGTAGACGTGTAGTCACATTAATGAAACGTTTTCTGAAGTTTGATCACGTTTATGAGTTTGTAACTCATTTTTCAGTGTACTGTGAATGGTCTGGTCGGCCTCCATAATACAAGCATGATTAGACTTATCAAATATTATTATTAATATTATTATTAACATTATTATTATTATTATTATTATTATTATTAATATTATTATTAATATTATTATTCTTTTGGTGTGGAATCAAATAAAGATAAGTCAAGTAACCAAGTACAGATTTTGGGAACGCCCCCCTCGATTACCCCAATCAGAAGCACTAAGCAATGCCCAAATACATGAAATGCAGGAGTAGCACAAGACCAGGCTTGGAATATTATATTGAACACCATATTACATTACTAGTAGGTGGGTTTTACCTACTGTTGTAAGTGAAACCAGCAATCACAGCACTATTTACTTTGTTCTGTCTCATCATGAAATTACATTCAATCTTGACAGACCTGCTTGGGCACACACTTCTGCATGTTTAAAACATAAGATAAACAGATCTTGTGATATGCATTTCTTCCTTGGTCATGAGGACTACTGGAAGTAGGGGACGCAGAGTTGTGCTTTTCAAGTTATGCAAGTAAGACCAGTTCCCTGAAGTGCAGCTTCCTTCAGTTTAACAGAGTATACACAGAATAAAAAACACACTGCAGAAGGAAAAGGAATCATATTTGAGAGAGATGTATAATAAATGATGTCAATTAAACCTCAAGCCAATGTCACTTGATGTAAAAAGCCAGATATTTTCATTGTTTGGAGGCATGGAACAAACTGTCTGAGTAACTCACTTTATTTTTACAATCTCTGTTTTTTTCTTTTGAGAATCTCAAAGAAAGCCCTGTGTACAACATGACCTGATCACAGCTGTTTAGCATAACAGTGAGCTGTTCTGCAAGATAAAACTTCAAGACAAAACCACTACTCCTCTAAAGGAAAAAAAAGGCTCTACGCTTTATCTTTTGCACCATCAGCTGAAATTACTGTTCACTTTGACTCCTCTAGTGGCCCAAACCAGTTCTTAAGAGTATTATCCTAACCTTATCCCTAAATAGCTGTTGTAAGGACACTGGCTAAACAAGTCTGAGTGAACAGTGTAAAGAGCAGCGTTTTTCAAAGCCGTAAGAACAAACTGAAAGGACTGGGTGTGGATGTTAAAAGGGAAAAAACTTGGAAAACTTGAACTGCTAGCAGTTCTAGATCTGTTGCCAGTATGTTGGATTCGTTAGAATACATTTGCATTAAATCCTATATAACCCAAGACTAGCGTGTTCGACAAAAATTAGGAAACTGTGAACCACTTTTTTCTCTCCATATATGCACTCTGTTTATATATGTAATTAGAGTACACCACATTTAAAGCTTACCAGATTGGCCAAAATGACTTTGAGTGGCAGGTAGTGTCTAGATGAGTCCAGCAAGATGCCTCGATGGGCAAACCGAGGAAAGTCCGAGATACTTGTCTTATTGATGTTTTGCTGTGCAAAAAAGAAGTCAAATATGAAAATAACTTTCCACTCAATCAAGTCAAGTTAATTGCAGATAACCACAAAAGAGAGAACTCACGCCTCCATAGTCATCTTCATACACCAGTTGACTGAAGGTTTCAAGTCCTAATAAAAACAAAGACATTAAGTGTAACTAATAAAAGACCTCAAAATACAATCACTGCAAGACAAACAGTGTGACTGCAGTTAGCTGTAGGTTTTAAGGTCTTCGTAGCACATAAGATGCTATTTATACATGACCACACTGTCATAAAGCACAATGACTGTACAGTGAATTATTTTATCATCGCCCAAGGAAACCACCATTCAGCGACACAGCAACATTTATTTTAAAACCGTATGGATCAAGCAAATGTTTCTTTCTGGGGCAATCCAATAAATTAAACTATAGCATTTTTTTCCCTCTGATATGCATCAGAACTGAAGTTCTGAAAAACTGATAGACAGCTAACATTGATACATCAGTACCAAGAGATTAAGTCACAAGCAGGACGATACTAATACTACAATAAGCTTACCTCGCAATGCTCCCCATACACTTGCCGCCTTAAGAACAGCCGCGGGTTGGTTTACTTCGAGTTGGTCTACACAAACAGAGCAGGTTTTGAAGAGCTAATTAAACATGTAATTGCATCACCAAGCAATTTAAACCTGTCCCATATGAACTGTATTAGCCATTGTTACTGACTGTTGTACTCAAATGCAGAAACTATCAATAGCCAATATGACTCGATTCCAATCAAAATCATACACCGGACAATTAAACTGTGTATTAAACTGGATGTTGACTGCTGAAACTAACTAGTCCACATTATGACCCCAGAACACTGGTAACACTGGCTAATACTGCAGACAGGTCTCTGCATGTTTTGTGTTTAAATAATTTCATCATTCACAGTGCATGGTGACCAAAATGGTGCATGGCATAATCTTCCATAAAGCCCTTGGACCCACCTTTTTCCAAATGCAATGTAAGAAAGTGTTAACCATGAAATGTTCCAACCTGCATTACACACAATTCTCCACATAACCAATAATGTCACCTGTCTTGGATCTGCTTTACTATTCTTTCATTCCAAACAGAAAATGGCCTGTCCATTGACAAAACAGGCTACTTAGGACTTCCATGATCTAAGAAAGAGCAACCTACAAGCAGGTTAAACCATTTAAATTCAGATTATCCTCGTCCAGAAGCAGATGTCATGTCACGAACTGGATTATGGTAATCTCTGCTCTTCAGTAGATTAGGCAAGCAATTAGCAGATTACTGGGATTCTGTACAGGAATACAAGAAGTGGGAACTCACATGACTCATCTGATTTTAGACTGGGGTAGCCATCGCACTCGGGGTCTGCAGACGTGATCTGCACCTGAAGCTCCGCCAGATCAGAGTTAAATACGTTGTCTAGGTTCTGCCCATGCTTCCTCCCATTTCCAAATATGTAAATGTAGTACCTGGAAAAACAAGACACAAGATGATGTTTAGGAAGTCTGGTCGGTCAGGCTCTCACATGGCTGCTCTTAGCCTTCATCCCTCACCTGTTCACATCAGACTTCTGCTATTTTTTTTTTTTAAATGAGCTTCACAACTGCAAACCCCTGCATAAACTTCCACACCACTTCCGGAAATTGTAATGTGGCCTTAAAGTTCTACTGATTTTTCAACATTTCTGCATAATTCAGTGGCGACATGACATATAAATAAACTAAATGAGAGAGGCCTGGGGTGAAATTCTGTTGTTTAGTTTGTAGAGAAACATACAGACTCCAATTTCTTTACAGTAGTGGTGACAGGAGCAAGGGGTCCCGATGTCTAGAATGCAAATTTAGCCATTTTATTTACTATCCAAAACCACCAGTTTTCATATGTAACGCTTACGATGGTAAAGTAGTGGTCAACACGACAATGAGTTTTCTTTGGGGACTATTTTGCCTTACAACACCTTTCTTGTATCCTTCCACCATGAATGGATTAAAATAAAATGCCTAAAATACATTTTAGACCAAAACCCTCTTCATAAAACTATGGTAAAACAATGTCTCAGACATCAAGCAATGTATTCATAACCATTTCTGGTACTAACTTTCTGAGAGGGAATTTTCAGAGGCATTAAACTCTGCAGACTTCTGGTTCCCATCACCACCACTGTAAACAACTCTGACACAGCAAGTTTCTCTAGAATAAAGCAATTCACACCAAACCACCCTGAATGATTCAGTTTACATCTAAATCACTTCATTGTGCAGAAATTTTTGAAAAACCAACAGAGTTCCCCTTAACACTTCTCAAATTTAACATCCTGTATATATATATCTTACACAATCATTAGTATACCAGCTCTGTGTCTGACTTTGTTCACTGCCTTTTTTTTACTGATCTTTCCTCTGCATTATCCAACTGCCACTGTAACCTGTAAACCTGTACCACTTACATTATAATTCCACTATCAGCTGCACCAAAAAGAGGATGGTTTCTTTTTAACGTTAGTTGGTTCCCCTCAGTGTTTCTATCTCCTACTCTTACGAAATTTCCTGCCACTGCCTCCTTCATAGTGATATAAGTGTCATAAGGGGTGTCCTGAGCTACTTTGAGACAATATCATTAAAAGCGATACGAGCGAACTGAACTAAAATTAAAAGTTTGGTGAACTAGAAATATTTTTCGCTGAGCTTAAGCACAAACAATGTACTTCCTCGTTGGTATCCCTCAGCTCTTGGCTGCAGAGATTGTCTTTGTAAAAAGCCAACCCTCAGACAGGAAGCTAACATGAACGAAGCTCAAGCTGCCATAAATCAGTACAACTTACCTGCGAAAGGCGTTTTGTAGGAGGCTGCAGCTCGGCCCGGCCGTCGACTCTTTGGCATGAACGATTTGAAAGCTTGCCGCGTTCAGTCTGAAAGCATCCCCGGACGTCTGAAACTTCTGCGGCAGCGGCCAAAGAGCCACTTCGTCCGACTCGCTGCGCCTCCGCGTTCCGAAACCGTCAAAAAGCCAGCCGTTGCAGACAGTAACCGTTAACAACAGCGTCCCAACTTTCAGTACGTGCAGCGCGCCCATAGCTGCGGCCGTGTGCAGTCAGCTGACAGTTAGGGCGCGAGAGCCTGTTTTTTAAGCCAGTCAGGGGCGGAGCTTCCGAGCAGAGCGGCAGTCACGAGACTGCGGCTGAGCTCCAAATGCCGTTTTATTGGGCTGTAAGTGCACTTTGTGAGTGCACAAGGCGTTGCATTGTGCTATGTAGTGCTCTATATAGGGAGCAGAGAGTTGTTTGAGACTTAACCTTCAGTGTAGCCAATCGCTGTGGAGTGTTATTCAGTTTCCATCACTTGACTAACACCATGTTGCTTTAAACCACTTCCTTATTCCAGTTTTCAATGAATAAACATGTTTATGGGTGTTTTTTTTTAAACGGGCAGTAAATGTACATCAAAACTACAGTTAGTTTAACTACAGTTAGAGAGCACTAGGACAAAAGGACATGCTGTAGTCACACAGCAATATATGCTGATCAGCCGTTACATTAAAACCACCTGCCTGTTTCTACACTCATTGCATATTTTATCAGCTCCACTAGCCATATCGGTGAACTTTGTAGTTCTAGAATTACAAACTGTAGACCATCTGTTTCTCTGCATACTTTGTTAGCCCCCTTTCACCCTGTTCTTCAACGGGCAGAACCTCCACGGGAACATCATAGAACAGGAATTATTTGGGTTTGAAGAACAGGGTGAACAGGGTAAAAAGGGGCTGACAAAGTATTCAGAGAAATAGATGGACAGCAGTCTGTAATTGTAGTGCACCTGTATGGTGGAGCTGATTAAAACAGACAATGAGTGTGACTGAGTCAGACAATGAGACTGATTGAGTCTGTTTCACTCTCTAGTTCAGCTATTTAGTTCCAATCTGTGTAATTAATATCTTATTCATATTATTCCTTCTTATGCAGATTTTGACAATTTTTTTTTATTGTCAGATAGATATCCAAAGAAAATACTTAAAAACAAAAAAAATAGTAGTCCTTATTTCATCCAAAGCTCTTTGTATAATCTTTTGCCAGAATAACAAAACGTAAAATCACACTTTTGAATTTTGGAATTATACACATTTTCCTCTGAAGGTATTGAAACGACAAGGCCAGTTCATTTGATATTGCTGTACACTGAAGGCAACTGGGTTGGAAATCAAAACATGTATATGATATATCAGAATTTTGGCTTATTTACTGATACTTACATTTATATTTGTTAAACAACTTAAGACATGGCACATTTTGTTTGTTGCCAAGTTGTGCCCTGATTGATTGCTCTGAGCAATTATTAGCGTTTGGTTTGAGCCCTGTGTTTTGCCTACAGTTAAGACTGCATTTGTTGTTAAAAGGGATAAACCAACGTAAAGACCAGAGGTATGTCTATGGGACCAAGACAGAAAGGCCCAATCCCATTTCACCCCTTCCCCCTACCACTTAGCCCTTAGCCCTCTGTTTTGCGCATTCACGTCTAGGGTTAGGGTATCCCAATTTTTGTTGAGATAGAGGGGTAGGGTGAAGTGTTAGGGCTACATGGCCCTCCAAACGGAGGTTTTTCAGAGGCACTCTCCAAACGGACTGTTATGAGAAGAAAAGAAAAACTGGCAAGATGGCTGAACAAGAGACCAAAGAAACCCACAAATGTGAGAATTTTCTCCATTACAAAAAATACGATAACCATTGTATTATCTTAGTTTAATGGTGTTTCAATGTATTATGGTCGTTTTCTGTATAACAAGCATAATAAATCGCTAATAGCATGCTAATGTCTCGGTAGCTAGCTAGCTAGCTAACTTTCCTGTTCCACCTTAAATAGTCCAGCAGTATTGACACCTGTAGCACCAGAAAGCAACTGCTGACCATTTAAGGTGGAATGGGAAAATACGAAGAAGCTGGCGAATAGCGGATTTCTGCTTCATATCACCAAAGAATTAGCAATGGGAGATAATAAATAATTGTCTTAAACCCCCTCTTTGAAAGCTTTTGATGCGCTAAATGTAACTAAAGCCCAGCAGCAAGGTTGCTGAACTTTTCCCTTTTCTGCTATCACTGAAGACGGGCCGGGTCACCTACAGAGCACTGCTAGTAGCCTGTTAATGTAGCGATGTTTTTTTGAGGGTTGTCCTATTTCGTAGGTCAAGATTTCAACCACTACCCCTTGTAACTCAGTTCCAAGGGGTTAGGGTGACACTCGAAAACAAGTGGTAGGGGTAAAAAGAAGAAATGGGATTGGGCCAAAAGCAAGCCATTTTGAAGCTGAGAAACGAGGGAAAATTGACCAGAGCCATTGCACAAGCATTGGGCATAGCCAATACAACAATTTGGAATGTCCTGAAAAAGAAAGGAAACCACTGGTGTACTAACACGCAGACAACAAACAGGTCAGCCAATGAAAACAACAGAAGTTGATGGCAGAAACATTGTGAAAGCTATGAAGAAAAACCCAGAAACAACAGTCAGTGACATCATCAACAACCTCCACAGGGTAAGAGTGAAGATATCACTGTTTGAAGAAGACTTTGAGAGCAGAAATGTAGAGGCCATATCACAAGATGCAAACCACTCATCAGCAGTCAGATTTGGAAGAGTTTTATGGATTGATGAGACCAAGATTAACCTCTACCAAAGTGATGGAAAGGCCAAAGTAAGGAGAAAGGAAGGATATCCTCATGATCCAAAACATAAAAGCTCATTGATCAAACATGGTGGAGGTAGTGTCATGGCTTGGGCTTGCATGGCTGCTTCTGGAAAAGGCTCACTAATCTCTATTGATGATGTAACATGATGGTAACAGCGGAATTAATTTAAAAGCCTACAGAAACATTCTGTCTGCCGAATTACAGAGAAATGCATGCAATCTAATTGGAAGGAGCTTTGCCAAGTAAATCACCAGCCCTAAACCCAAATGAGTATGCATTTCACTTCCTGAAGAGGAGACTGAAGGGAGAACCTACCCCCCAGCCAAGCACTTTAGTAAAGATTGTACATGTGGAGCACTGAGATCTGGTGACTGTGAAGGTCACAGCATATGATGAACATCATTTTCATATTCATCATAACATTCAGTGACTACTTGTGCCTGGTGGACAGGGGCCTTGTCATCATAGAAGAGACTATTTTCCTCAAGATTGAAATAATACATTATAGGATAAAAAGATTAGTAAGAATAACTTTGTATTGATTTGCAGTGACCCTAGCCTCTAAAGGGGACACATGCATCCAAACTAGCCAGCAAATTGCCCCCCACAAAATACCAGAGTCAACAGGCCTCTCTTGGAGAATATGTTAAAGGATGACTCATCTGACCATATCATTTTTTCTCACATTTTCTGCACTTGGTAGACTCTCTTATCCAGAGCAACTTACAATTGAATCAGGTAAATGTAGCAATCGGAGTTTTGCCCAAAGACCCTTATTGGTATCACATAGTGCGTTTGCCCGAGCGAGGAAAATGAATACTAGAGTGCTGCTTGGAGGTCAACAGTGTTACCTACTACTATACCAATCCCTGTAGACAAGTTATGGCTTTTAAACCAATGAACTCTCAAACGTTTATGCACTGCAATCCCACAGTAATGTCCTCTCTATGCAGTTGTGCTCTTGCTGACACAATCCAATTATGTTCTGCATTTGACGTTCTCAGTCACCTGAGGAACAGTTGCTCTTCTGTTTTTTCACATAGAATGGGTGCTTTTATCCACAATCTCAACCCTGATGTCTTTAGATCTAAATGCAGATGTCACTGTTCCTGTTGAAGTGGCCTTCTTTAGCCCTTACCAGTTCAATGAATGATGGCATCATCGTTTTTTGAACTAAATCTCTTGTTCTAAGCAACCAGATTGTATCTTAAGATTTGTTCTACATTTTATCCTACAGGAAAACCCCAAATGAGGCTGACATCCCATTTTCACCAAGCAGATTTGAAACCACCAATTATATTACAAACCACCAATTACAAAATAAAAACATAGCCCATATCCGTCTGTGAGCCAGTCATCCAGCAATGCTCCGCATGGGCTCAGTAGCATCAAATTGCAGTTTAGCTGCTCTGAAACTCATTCCAAACCCACATGTGTAAGTAATGAACCTCTTGACTTTGTCAGAATTCATTCAGTTCTTTGGAAATGATGAGCTGAAGAGTGACCTTCCTAAACGACATATAGCTTTCATGCTGAGTACACTATACTTTACTTTTTAGCATAGTATAGAAAATCTCATGGCTCCACCCTGTGGTTGCTGTTAGATGTTGATTTTTTCTCAGCAGCTGTAGAGGACGGTTTACTAGTATACCTGCAATAAAATTGATAGAATTAAACATTTAGAATTACTAAATTACTTTGGATAGTATTCTAGAATTACGTAAAATTACTAAATATCATTGCTAATACTGCTACAATGCAGGTAAAATACACATATTTGTATAGAAAGCATCCTCATAATAACGTAACATTGAACATCCATAACACAAATGCAGTACAAATGTGATAACTCAGCATTAAAGTGCGTTAGGTGTCTAGCTGTAACATACCTGCCTGGTAACTGTGTTCATGTTAGCAACAACTATTTATGTGCAATATAACCAGTCATTTCATTCATCACTTTATGTGTTGTTTCTACATTCATTGTCTATTTTATCAGCTCCACTATAGGTGCACGTTGTAATTCTACAATTACAGACTATAGTCCATTTTTTTCTCTGCATACTTTGTTAGCCTCCTTTTACTCCATTCTTCAATAGTCAGGACCCCCACAGGGCAGGTATTATTTGTGTTATGGGTCATTCTCAGCATTGCAGTAACACTGACACGTATGTATGAATGGATCATACATAGCAGTGTTGCTGGAGTTTTAAACAGCTCAAGGTGAGAATAGTCCACTATCCAAAAATATCCAGCCAACAGCATTCTGTGACCACTGAAGAAGGAGTAGAGGATTATCAACACAAACTGTGCAGCAACAGATGAGCTACTGTCTCTAACTTTACATCTACAAGCTGGCAGAACAAGGTACGTGTCTAATAGAGTGGACAGTGAGTGGACACAGTTTTTAAAAACCTCAGCTGCAGTGCTGTGTT